GACAGCTGTCGTTTGCAAATGGTTGTCCCTAAAGCTAAAGTGCCGAATGTTCTACAGCTGTGCCATAATGGTCGTTTTCAAGAGTCCATCTGGGAGTTAAACGAACTCTACTGAAGGTCCGAGAACAGTTTTACTGGGTCCATTATCGTGACGATGTGGAGGATTGGTGTCGTACATGTACAAGTTGTGCGGCCGTGCGGGGACCTCAGACACGTAGTAGAGAAATAGAAAGAGTAATAGTAGAGAATAGAAATAGTTGGTGCACCACGGGATAGGACAGCCCTTGACATTGCGGAGCCGTTACAGAAAGGCGCAAGAGGGACTCCTAAGATCGTCCATGTGGATCGCTTGGCGCTTTATTATGGGGCCGATAATGCTCGGGACGAGCATGTCTTAGGAGGGGGCAGTGTTACGCGCTCAAGTCGACGATACACTAGCGCCATCTAGTGTCAGGAACGAGAGCGAGGGGAGCATTGAGAAAATGACATCACAAATCACTCAACCGACAGCGCCATCCGAAGAACTAAGTTTCTAGAAAATCTACACTCGCACACTCGTCCCTTTGCGCGCATTTACTTGAATATTCCGGATGCTTCTTTGCTAATTTATATAAATAGGCGCTGCAAGATGCGATCGAGGCAGTGTTGATTTGGCGAGACAAGCGAAGCTTCGGAGCGGAATAAAGTGAATTAGTGTGTTTAATTATTAGTGTTTTAAGTTTTAATTTGTGTAAAGTAAATTAAAGTGTTAATTTAGGTAATTTTATCGGCAATTTTTATTGTCACGAACCTCAAGCTCGTAACAATACTATTGCAAAGACCAATGTCATGCAAGCTAATGCCGTAAGCAAGCCCAAAGGATATCCTCTCAGCTTCGTTCCGGGCACATTCCACTAAAATATGAAAAACATCTTCAATGAGATCACAGTCAGTGCAATTCATGGAATTAGCTTTGCCCATTAGGTAAGCAAAACTATTCAGTGGGATATGTCCGGAGCGCAGTCTCATAGCAGTTACAATGGTGTGTCTCGACAAATTGGAATTAATAAACCAAGGATGACGGGAAAAATTATTTTGGATTGTTTTATACCATATGCCTTTTTTTACTCGAGATCGCTCATCAAAATATTCTTTCCACATGTTTCTACATTTATTTTTAATCATATAAAAAAGGTCGGTATAATACGGCAAACAAACTGAAGTGATACCCTCAGACAAGGCCTGTCTAGCGAGATAGTCTGCCTCTTCATTTCCTGTCAGGCCTACGTGTGAAGGTATCCATTGTAAAACTATTGTGTAATTTTTTGTGGCTAGAGAGGAAAGTGACTCCAAGATAGTGTATGCTATCGGTGTGCCTCGACTATTCGAGGTGCATCGAGCAATGTGTTGTAATGCACTCTTGGAATCCGTTAAAACGACGTATTTGCCCGATTGAAAGGATTGAACGTAAGAAATTGCTTCTGATATTGCTATCAATTCTAACAACATTATGGAGACATTTAAATCAATACGTAGTTTCACTGAACTACCCACTTGCGGGTCATAAATAGCTAGACCGCCACAATTACTTTCCTTTGAACCGTCCGTATAAATTTTGTAATAACTTGAATACGTATTTTTAATAAAACTGTTACACAGTTGTTGTAATGTCAAGGAATTATAACTTCTTTTAGCGTTACTTACGGCATCTATGTTAAACTTAATTATATTCGAAATATTCACATTGCTGACCCAGGTATCAAGAGTAAACATATCTAATTGTGTACTAATATGTACAGCAGTATCTTTAAGGTAACTGTGAACTAAAATTAAAAGGGGCTTTTCTTTGCACCTCCAATAAGAATTTTGACTTAAAAGAATCAGGTCGTCCAAAATGGGAATAATCTTGTGGTTAGAAAAGGAATTCGCCTTTAACCAATACTTTCCGGCTAGATAATGTCTTCGTACATTTAAAGGCGGTAGGTGTAGTTCGCACTCCATGACATGTATAGGTGTTGTTTTAATAAAACCACCGATTACCCGCATACACTGATTCTGAACTTTATCTAGCTTGCTTGTGTGTGTCTTGCAACTACTACCATAAAGGAAACTTGCGTAATCTAATCTGCTACTAATACACGATATGTATAGACGCCTTAAATGAGTTGGGTGAATGCCCCAGCCTGTCCCCGCTAAAATTTTGAAAACATTAAGCATTTTTGAGGATTTTTCTTTTAGTTCATTTATTTGTTTAGACCATCGTAAATTCCTGTCTAACCAAATACCTAAATATTTCACACAATCAACTACTAAAGAAATGCCACTAACAGATATAGACACAGGGTCCCGTACAAATTATTATTTTGGAAAATACAAATTTTACTTTTGAGAGCTGAAATTTCTAACCCAGTAAGAGAAAGAAAACTAACAAATTGATTTAAAGCTAATTGTAATTGGTTTCTACCTTCTTCTATATTACTACAGGTGACATATAGAACGAAATCATCTGCGTACTGTGATATAAATACATTATTTATTGACTTGCAAATCTCCATTGTTAAGATATTAAATAAAAGCGGGGAAAATGGATCGCCTTGAGCTAAACCTAAACAACATTTCCTTCTTATTACTGAGTTATCATCTGTCTCAATACTTAGGTTTCTCTCTTTTAAAAAATTTCGTAGTTATGTACATATTTTATAACCTATCCCTATAGTATCTAAAAAATCTAATAAACGTTCTAAATTTACATTGTTGTATTTACTGTCAATGTCAACAAAGCAAGCAATCGTTGATTGTTTCTTCGAAAATCCTAGTTGGACTCTTGACACAAAGGTAGATAAATTATCTAAAATGGAGCGCCCTTTGCGAAAACCTATAGTATCGGACGATAACATGTTGTTATGTTTAACATACCATTCTACTCTTTTAATCAATATATTATGTAGTATTTTACATACACAGGAAATCATAGATATAGGTCGCCAAGAAGAGTCAGATTGAAGATCTCGGCCGGGCTTTGGTATAGGTATTATGGTGATATTATGCCACTGCTGGGGAACAAAACCTGTTTCTAAAAAAATATTATAAAGCCTGACTAAAATCAATTTCGCATTATCCGGCAAATTATATAGCATTGAATAGGAAATGTTATCACTACCAGGAGAAGTGTCTTTAGTGCGCAAGCTATTGTCCAATTCGTGTCGAGATATCTGTGTCTCAATCTTAGGGTTATTTGAATTAAATTTCGGATCCTCAGTACAAACGAAATCCGGTGCCAGGCTTTGTACTAATCCAAGCGCCTTCTCTTTACTAATACCAGATCGCAGTGCATAGCATCCCTTAAACCATTTCATTTTCTTCCATAAAACAGTATGAGATGTTGTCCCGTCTAATGAAGTGCAGAAGTCTTGAAAACTCTTACTTTTTGCTATACGAAGACTTCTCTGGCATTCCCTAATTTTCTTCTGCAACTTGTCAAAATTAAAGGTTAAAATTATATATTCGTGGGGTTACGTCGAAATGTTGATAACGCTAACCGTCTTTCGGCTACCAACTTTGATAAGGAACTATTCCAGTAAGGTTTGGGAGTTAAATTTTTCTCGGGGTCAGAATTAATTTTAATATATGGAATGTGAATGTCTGCAGCTATATTAATCAACTGGATAAATGAATCATACGTTTTTTGTGAGTCTTCCGTGATAATAAAACCTTGCATAAGAGTTTCTATTAAGTTGCGGTACCTAGACCAATCGGGCTTTGTATAATTCCTGTGTATCGTGGGTATGGGTAGACTATCTATCTGCATTGAAATTTTAATCACTAGATGATCGCTGCCAAACGTTTCATTAAGTGTGCCCCAATTAAATTTACACGCTATATCTGAGGAAGCCAGCGATATGTCTGGCGCAGATTGTTGTACTGTATTATTCACTAATTTAATGCGAGTAGGGTTGCCATCATTCAATGTTACGAGATCAGTATCTAAAAGTGCGTCATAAATCTGGGTACCTCTTTGATCTAATTTATGAGACCAATTTGTGTGGTGTCCATTAAAATCGCCTAGAATAACTACCTTATTGTTAAAACGAGAAAAAATTTGTTCCCAATCACTTTGGCTCGTGTGAACTGACGGAGCACAATATAAGGATAATATATACTGAACATGCTCACAGTTGCAAATCTTAACACAAATTATCTCAATCCCTGGGTTACAGCTTTCGAACGACACATAACTTGACTTAAGAGACCTGTGGACCAAAACCGCTACCCCACCATAACCTTCATCCCTATCCTTACGGTATATCGTATAACCATTCACCTTCAGCTGACTATCTCGTTCCAACCACGTTTCGCTGAGTGCAGCAATGTGAATTTTCAGTTGACTCAGAGATTGCTCTAAGGGTATTAATTTCGGTCGAATACTTTGACAATTCCATTGTGCAATATTTAACCTAACAGATTTCTGACTACGAGACATAGGAGGTAAAATAGTCAGCAATAATCTTACATAAAGGCCACTTTGATACGAATTGTACACTCAATAAGATTAACCACTCTAAACAACACTTTAACACCCTATGTAGCTTGTCTTCCATCGTCAATTCCCTTAAAAATATAATTTCTTTAAGTCTCACTAATAGCTCGTCAAAACGAACACCGTCATTCCTTTTCTCTTCACCAGCAGCCGCATCAGGAGGCACTATTGACTCACTATTCATTGTAGATGAGTTTGTCGGGAGCTCCAACCTACAAGAAGCCGTGTCCCTCCTACGAGTACGTCGAAAACTCATTGAAGTATTGGCAGAAGTGTTTTTAACCTCATATACATCCTCTTTATGCAATGAGATGTCGGTTTTAACTATCTCTGCGAATGTGGAGGTATCACGTTCTTGGAATCTACTCTCCGTTTGTGAGATCATGTTGGTAGGAGGGTTGTCAGACTGTTATCGAAAGCTATCTTTTCCAAGCAAGGAAGCTGAGGGCGGTACATATACTGTTAAGGCTTTCCTATAAGTACAGTTAAATTCTACCATGATTTCTCTCAAAATCTTCTCCTTTAAAAAAGGCTGGACATGAAGCTTTATGCAAGGCCATATGGTTTCCACCACAGTTAACACATTGGAAATTCTGTGTTTCACAGTTCTGATGACTACCACCGCATTTCGGACAGACTATTTTACTGGAAGGGCATTTCTTTGTAGGGTGACCATATTTCCAGCATTTCGAGCATTGCGATATGGGAAATACATAAGGAGTAACTTTTATACCTAATCCATGAACGTATATGTACTGTGGAATAAATGAACCTTTAAAGCACACTTGTACCGCTTCACTTGGCTGCCAACCTTCTCCCTCTCTGTTTCGACGTTTAAGCCGATATACAGATATTATTTCTACGGGTTTATCACACATTATATTTCTTAAAATTTCCTCGTCAGATAAATCAAGGTCAACGTCTTTAATGACGCCATAAGATGAAGTCCTTTCCATAGCCCTGTATACCTTCCAACCTTTATCCTTGAATTCCTGACATTTTTCGATTTTATCGGCACTTAACTCGCTGCAGACTTCGACGCGAATCTTGAAAGGGTTAATGTATTTTAATCTGGTGATATCAACTATCCCACAAGCCTTCAGCATCTTAGCTAATGCAAATTGTTTGGGCAACTTTTCATTGCTCGATAAATACATCTCAATATCCTCCTTCAGTTGTGGTTTTAATCTTTTCTCTTTGCTTTTGACTAAATTCCATCCTTCATTATCATCATCATCCCCGAAAAAATTCTCCCCCCTATCCCTTTTTTCCCTCCTAAATTGGTCTTCTTCCATTCCAGATTGTACTAAATTCTCCTCTCCGTAAGGCTCTTCTTCCGCATCTGATATACTATGTTCAATTAAAGAAATATCGCTCGCCATTATAACTGTATTCACATTCTCTAAACGCGAGTTGTTTACTTTCATTAGTATTATACCACTCTAATGAATGTCTTCGTTATGAATGGGCCGCTCGCACATCGGCAACATAACGGTACTCCGCTACACAGGTAGCGAGGTGTAGCAGCGCGAACAACTTTAACAGCTAATAACGAAAAAAAATTGCTTATTTGCGAAACCGCGTCTCCCTCGCACGAATACCGCGACGAGACTGATTGTCTTGTGTTGTTGATTGTAAACATGATTGTAAGCTATTATTTAAAAAAAAATAGTCCCGCTGGGTTTCTTGCTGGTTCTTCCCAGGACAGAGGTTTTTTTTGCGAACCAGTGGTAAATTAAAAAAGTGACTTCCAATAAGTATTTTTATAATCTACATTGAATAAAGAAGTTTCTATTAGAACAATTAAAAAATGTATCTAAATATATTTAAAAGTCATAAAGATGAGGCCACGCTAATCATTAGTCTATAGGTTTCTCTGTCTATGGTATACGGAAAGACAGATAGTCTACGTTGTTAATAACAACCATAGATAAGAGTCTATATACGGAAATAGATAAGAATCTCTAACGTAGAAATTGGCCGCGACAACAGCGCCGCCTGGAAGCTAGTTATAGTGCCACCAACTTATCTGTTCAGGTGGACAAAATTGGAACTAAGGCCGCCATTTTGTAAATGACATTTCGCTGTCAGTTATTATTTATTCTGAGCTATCAGGTGAGTGTTTTTAAAAAGTGCAAATAAAATGCCTAAAGCTCTTAAAAGTGATGCGCGACAGATTATCCTAAAAGTTTTATCTTTTATGAAAGAAGAGAAACGTGTACAAGCCCCAATTATACCATTTGAAAAGCTGTATGAACGCGTTACTGCCGCGACAGGTAGTATTGCCAGATATGGAAAATTAAAATCACCTAATAATGTACTTGTGAAACATAGTAAAAAAAATTCTCAATTTACTGTAATTCGTCTAAATTACCTAGCTTTGTAATTTGTGGTCTGTGAAGTAGCTATAGTGACGGCATATACACTGGTTATATTTATTTAATTTTACCTATACAATAATTATTTGTCGTTTCGTTACAGGTGTTTCTGAGCGATTTGTACACAAACTCGTAAATGAAGAGAAACACGCTGAAGAATCAAATTCTAAAATTTCTACCCCTGGCAAAAAAAGGCAAAGAAAAACCGGGAAACAAGAAGTTGATAATTTCGACATTGGTGTTATAAGAAGAAAAATTCACGAATTTTATTCAGTGAAAAAAGAAATTCCTACCATACCCAAATTACTGAGTATTTTAAAAGAAGATATTGATTTCAAAGCAGAACGTGAAACTCTTCGAAAATTGCTTCACAAAATAGGATTTCGTTATAAGAAAACAAAATCAAATAGAAAAGTGTTGTATGAACGTAACGACGTAGCTGCATGGAGAGCAACCTACCTACAAAAAATTAAAGAAAATGAGTGTGGTGAAAAAAGACCTATTATTTATTTAGACGAAACTTACATACATTCGTCTCACTCAACTGGGAAATGTTGGCAAGGTCCTGAAGAGGATGGCGATTTGGAACCTGTTTCGAAAGGTAATAGGTGGATCATAATCCATGCAGGTGGAGAAAAAGGTTTTGTGGAAAATGCACTTCTCGTATTTAAATCAAATACAAAGTATGGGGACTACCATGATGAAATGAATAGCACTAATTTCAAAAAATGGGTATATGAAAAATTACTACCTAATCTGCATGAACCTTCTCTCATTGTGATGGATAATGCGCCATACCATAGTATTTGCGTAAATAGGTGTCCTAATTCAAACCACAGTAAGGCTGATATGCAGAAGTGGCTTGTAGAAAACAATGTGGATTTCAATGAACAAATGACAAAACCACAGCTTTATGAGTTAATAAAGAAAAATAAACCTGCTCCGGAATATGAAATTGATAACCTGATGAAAAGTTATGGCCATGTTATTCTTAGATTGCCGCCTTATCATTGCGACTTGAACGCAATTGAAATGATATGGAGCTCTATGAAAAGGAACATAGCAGACAAAAATGTTGGAAAATCTAACGTTCTAATGCCCCAATTAATTGAAGATGCATTCAATAAAATTACACCGGTGCAGTGGAAAAACATTTGTAATCATGTGAAAAAAATTGAAAATGCATACAGACTAAAAGACGCGTATTTAGATGAACCCTTTATTATAGAGTGTCAGAGCGATAGCGAAAGCGATTCCAGTGACTCAGAAGATGAATTATTGGAATCAGTAGCTAACGCGGGTACGTCTTTCAAAATAAAATATAAATAATATATATAATAACACTAATTCTCACTAATTTTAATATATTAACACGAAATTTGTTTTATTTTATATTATGTGTACCTAATGAATATGTAGTCACCTATTTCCTCGGCGAATTTCTTAAATGGCAATAGTAAGCACTCCACTAGCGACTCTGTAAACTGAACAGATAAGTTGGTGGCACTATAATTACCTGCTACTTCAACTATACATAACTATAGATACCTTATTATATATATAATATATACCTCTATACTACTTCTTTCATAATGTTATTTTTAAGTATTTTGTCGATTTCTAAATAACAATAAAAACACTGTTTGTTACTTACATAACTGTGGTAGAGCCACGCGGCAGCTTTGCTGTCGCACGTATGGGCCGGCTCAAACCGGGGTGGTACCACGACCTCACAGAATACCGGCGTGAAGTGGAAGCTCTGCTTCCGCGTTTCGTCTGGTGAGTGCAGGTGGCCGGAGGCCCAAAGCCCCCCCCCATCAACATGGTAGCGGAATTAAATGATAGACTACCCCAGGAGGGTACCAGCACCTCTGGAGAATCCCTCGCTGAGCATCCACGACCATGTTTCTCCACTTCTGAGCGTGGGTGCTCAGGCTGCCCCGCGTATTCTGGGGGGGGGGCAAAATTCCGCTCAAGACTAAAACTGCTCGGGGCAAACGGAGCAACAAGACCAAGGCGACCCCTGCCACGCTGTCCGTGAATTTCTGCAATATCAGGGGATTTCACTCTAACCTAAACGCCGTCCACTACCATCTCGAGACGGCGAGGCCGGCTCTGCTCTTTCTGACCGAGACGCAGGTGTCCTCTCCGGCTGATGTCTCGTATCTCTCCTGCCCAGGGGTACAAACTGGAACACTCCTTTGTGCCCCGGGCTGGAGTTTGCGTTTACGTCAGAGAGGACATCTGTTCTCGACGCCTCGGCAGACTTGAAGGTTCGGACCTGTCCATCCTTTGGCTACGCGTAGACAGCGACGACCATCCGCGCGTCTACGGGTGCCTCTATAGATCCCATAGCGGTAATGCCGAAACAGACCGACTCTTCGACCACGTCCAAATGGCTGCAGATTCGTTGCTACAGCAGATCCCCTCCGCAGAGATCGTGATCCTCGGCGACTTTAACGCCCATCACGCCAAATGGCTCGGTTCACGTTTAACCGATCATGCGGGGAGATCTGTTCATGATTTTGCCTTGGCATATGGTCTGACACAACTGGTTACTTCGCCTACGCGGATTCCAGATGTGGAGGATCATGCGCCTTCCCTGTTGGACCTTCTGCTGACCTCTCACCCGGACGGATATCAGATTTCCGTCGACGCCCCTTTAGGCTCCTCGGACCATTGTCTTGTCCGGAGTGTGGTGCCACTCACGCTGAAATCGCGGTTGCATTCTGCAGGCTGCCGCCATGTTTGGCACTATAGGTCAGCCGATTGGGATGGGATGCGGTCTTTCTTTGCATCCTACCCTTGGGGGCGGATTTGCTTCTCGCCGGACGATCCCAACGTTGTTGCGGCTTCTGTCGCTGATGCGGTACTTCAGGGTATGGAACATTTTATTCCTTCCTCTGTGGTGCCCATTGGAGGCAAATCTCAGCCATGGTTTGGTCGCTCCTGTAAAATAGCATCATGCTATAAGCAGGAGTGCTACCGAGCCTGGGCTGACGCATCAGCGTCCCGGGATGTAAACACCAGCGCTCTAAAAAAGAAGTATAATTCCACCTCTAGGTCCTTCAAAAGAGTCATTGCCAAGGCAAAGTCAGAGCACATAGGCAGAATTGGCGAGAGACTAGTTCGTCTTCCTTCTGGAACCCGTGCATTCTGGTCTCTCGCCAAGGCTGTCCAGGCGAATTTCTGTCAGCCATCTCTTCCATCTCTGCACAGGGAGGACGACTCACTGGCCCACACCGCAAAGGAGAAAGCCGATCTTCTAGGCTCTTTCTTTGCGTCTAACTCGACTCTCGATGACGGGGGGAGTACGCCGCCGACCATCCCGCGGTGTGAGTGCTCCATGCCGGAAGTGCAGTTCACTCAGCGCTCGGTTCGCAAAGCACTCCTCTCCCTGGACATCCATAAGTCGAGTGGGCCTGACGGAATCCCCCCAATTGTGCTGAGGACGTGTGCTCCAGAGTTGGCACCGGTTTTAACGCGTATTTTCCGGTACTCCTACTCCCTAGGCGTAGTCCCAAAATCATGGAAGACGGCTTTCGTCCACCCGATCCCTAAAAAAGGCGACCGCTCAGACCCGTCCAACTACCGGCCTATCGCCATCACCTCCTTGTTCTCCAAAACAATGGAGTCCATTGTAAACTGCCAGCTCATGAGGTACCTTGAGGATCACCAGCTGATTAGTGACCGCCATTACGGTTTTCGCCGTGGTAGGTCAGCTGGTGATCTTCTGGTCTACCTAACTCACAGATGGGCGGAGGCAGTAGAGTCCAAGGGGGAGGCATTGGCCGTTAGTTTGGACATTGCGAAGGCCTTCGATCGGGTTTGGCACAAAGCGCTTCTTTCGAAGCTCCCTTCCTATGGGCTTCCCGAGAAATTGTGCGATTGGATCACCAGTTTTCTTGCAGATCGGTGCATCAAGGTCGTTGTAGACGGTGCAAGCTCCGATTGCAAGCTTATTAATGCTGGTGTTCCACAGGGCTGCGTGCTATCGTCAACGCTGTTTCTTCTGCATATCAATGATATGTTGCAAACCCGTAGCATTCATTGCTATGCAGATGACAGCACTGGTGATGCTCTTTACACCGGCCGAGTCAATATTTCTCGGGAAAACGTCTCTGAGTGCCGGGACAAACTTGTGTCTGAAGTCGAGTCTCTGCTGGACAGAGTCTCGGATTGGGGGCGACTAAATCTAGTCCAGTTTAACCCTCAGAAGACACAAGTTTGCGCGTTAACCGCTAAAAAGAACCCCTTTGTCGTATCCCCTCAGTTTCAAGGCACTCCCCTTGTTGCCTCAGCCAGTATCGGAATCCTAGGCGTCGACATATCGAGTGACGTGCAGTTTCGTAGTCACTTGGAAGGGAAGGCCAAATTGGCCTCTAAAAAGCTTGGCGTGCTCAGCAGAGCGGGACAGTATTTCATGCCGGCACACCGCCTGCAACTTTACAAGGCGCAGGTTCGGCCGCTCATGGAATACTGTTCTCATCTCTGGGCTGGGGCTCCCCAGTACCTCCTTCCACTTGACTGCATCCAGCGCAGAGCGGCTCGAATCGTCGACGACCGAGTGCTTTCCGATCGGGTCGATTCACTGGCGCTGCGAAGAGATGTTGCATATCTTTGCGTATTTTATCGCATCTATCACGGGGAGTGCTCTGAGGAATTGTTCGGATTAATCCCAGCCGCCAAATTTCGTGAACACACTACACGGCAAACGTCCCGATACTATCCACACCATCTGGATGCTTGGCGGTCCACCACTGTACGTTTCAAAAGGAGTTTTCTTCCGCGTACAACCTCTCTGTGGAATAATTTACCACCGGTGATTTTTACGACCTGGGGACCTTCAAGAAAAGAGCTTACTCCTTTCTAAAGGGCCGGCAACGCACCTGCAATTCCCCTGGTGTTGCGGTTGATCATGGGCGGCGGTAGTCACTTAACATCAGGTGAGCCACATGCTCGTTTGCCCCCTCTTCTATAAATAAAAAAAAAACTTAGAAATCGGCATAAATACTCCCAATAAATTGTAGGACTTAGGCAAAAAGAAAGATTATCAGTATTGTTAACATATTTATTTTGCAATTATAAACAAGATGATATTTTGAAGATAAAATAACACCAAAACGTGAAATGTTATAAAATTCCATGTTGTCTGCACATAAGTGCAGCGAGTGAGCGCGCGCGCATCGCTGTGTTAACATCGTATAACATTAACTCCGATATAAAAATATTATTGCTTGTAAAGTTTATAATTCAACTTAAACGTTATGCATGTGAAATTGTAGAAGTGAAACTGTAGACATTATATTTGAATAAAAGTGATTTTTATAGACAAAGATTACAGTATGAGTAAATTATGGACAACAGTGAGAATTTTGCAAAACAATGGGCTATGATATTAAACGCTGTTGCGAATCAAACGTATTCTTTTATTTTATACCCACTTATGTGACTTGCATAAAGTAATAGTTTGTTTATTTGTTAAGATCTTTTGATAAGCTGTAAATATGAAATGCTTAGCATGTTCGAATTCTATTGAGAAGGGAGAATTATTGGGTTGTGTTACGTGTAAAAGGAACTTATCATTACAGATGTTTGAATATTACAACGGCGAAATTTATGGCCAATTTCCAACAAATCAACGAACATGGAAGTGCCCTACTTGTACAAATGTTACTAAAAGACGTCACAGAAATAATGACACATTAATAAAAATAAATCGTGAAGAATCGTCCCCCTCCGATTTATTTGACATGTCCTGTGATAATATTTCGCAGACAGAGGATAGTAACGAACAATTGTCCCCGAATATGAAGCATCCTGGAGTGCCTAAAGTGAATACTTTTTCATTTCCCCTAGAAGAAGTTGGTAAATTGCTGGATCAAAAATTAGACTCGAAACTAATCGCACATGTTTGTCTAGCCACAGAAATCAAGCAAGAATTTCGTGACGTTTTAAAGAATTTAGAAAGTGATTTCAAGCAAATAACTGAATCTTTAACACAAAAAGTATGTAACTCAAAGAACTCACGAGAATGAAAACGTGTGCATTCACAAAGAAATTGAATCTCGTCAAACTGTTCAAACAAATACACACTTGGAGAGTATTGTTACGGAGTTACAGCAGCAAATAACCTACAATAAACCAAGAAGCCCTGCTAAATGATGTCGAAATAGTCGGAATACCAGAATATTCAGGCGAATCAACAATGCATATTGTGTTGACCGTTGCCTCTAAACTCGGAGTATCTCTAATGAAACAAGACATAGTTTACGCTGAGCACGTCGGTCGCCGTTTAAATTGGCTGCATAAGGATACGCGAACCGAATGCAGTTACCTAACCAAAACAACACATCATTATCTATTAGCCTTTGCCGCCGCGATTGACGCGTCGTACATTACGCGATCATTTATTAAAAAATGCTCGAGTACGTCGTACGCTTACTATTGGAGACCTAGGACTACCACCTCACGAATCAACTACTTTTTATGTTAATGAACGTTTAACTAAAATAAACCGAATTTTATTTGCTAAAACACGTGAAATTGCTTGAAATTTAAATTGGAAATTTGTATGGACAAAGGGAGGTCGTGTTTATGTTAAGCGTGAAGACTCTCATAATATTCCTGCGCGCATAATAAACTCCGAAATGGATATTGAACGTATTTTTGGTGTACCCTATTCAAAAATTTCTAAATAATGTTAATTGTATTTTGGGGCTTCTTACTATATTATTTTTGTTCATTTTGTTAGATAATATTGTGTTTTTATAATACCTCATACTTTATTATTAATTACATGTTATTTCATACTTTTTAATTCCTACGTTTTATACCATATTTTATTACGTCTATATTATGCAGTAGTTTGCAGTAGCAATATTGTACTTGTAGTAGTATTTTTGACCTTATTTGCTAGTAAAGCTTCTGTTAATTTTTTTGGATTTTTTGGTTAACGTTATTTTAACTTACTTAATTAGTTTACTTACTTTCTTTTGTTAGCTAGTACATGTATAGAAATATGTTGTTTTTATTTTGAATGTTTTTTAATAATTATTTTTACCTTATTTTATTCTGATTTTTGTGCGAATATTTTGTAATTTTTTTTGCTTGTTTGTATGTATTTTTTGATGATATATTGAAAATAATTATATGTTTTATATGCATGCCGATGCTAGCCAGTTCAAATTATAATATTATATGTTACTGTAAATACTCTTTAATTATTTGTGTTCAACATATCGACGAATATGAAATGATTATTCATGCAAAAACATTATTGCAACATCATCATCATCATCATTACAGCCCTTCACAAGTCCACTGCTGAACATAGGCCTCCCCCAAGTAATGCCACAAAGCACGGTCCCGAGCCACCTGCATCCATCGACTTCCTGCATGTCTTACCAGGTCGTCACTCCGTCTAGTGGGGGTCGCCCTACACTACGCCTACCGGTACGAGGCTGCCTCTCGAAAACCTTTCTTCCCCATCGGTTATCGGTTCTTCGAGCTATATGGCCGGCCCATTGCCACTTCAGCTTACTAATCCGTTGGGCTATGTCGGTCACTCTGGTTTCACTGCGGATATCCTCATTTCTGAGTATCACGCAGTGAAACTCCGAGCATAGCCCTCTCCATAGCTCGCTGAGCGACCTTGAGCGTCCTCATACGGCCAGCGGTGAAGGACCACGTCTTAAATCCGTAATCCATCACTGGCAACACGCACTGGTTATACACTTTAGTTTTCAGAGATTGAGGTATACCTGACGAGAAGATATGTCGTAATTTCCCGAACGCTGCTCAGCCGAGTTGAATCCGTCGATTGACCTCTCGGTCGAAGTTGGACTTACCTAGTCGGACTATTTGTCCCAGGTAAACGTACTCGTCAACAACTTCAAGCATAGTGCTCCCAACAACTACCGGCATAGGTGTGACATGGACATTAAACATGATCTTTGTTTTGTCCATGTTCATCTTAAGACCTATCCGTTGGGAGACACCATTGAGGTCATTGAGCATAGTGCTAAGGTCCTCCAGCGATTCTGCCATAAGGACTATATCGTCGGCAAATCGAAGGTGAGTGATGTACTCGCCATTGATGTTAATACCGTATCCTTTCCAGTCCAGTAGCTTGAAAACGTCTTCCAACGCAGCGGTGAAGAGTTTCGGGGATATAACAGTAATCCTCTCTGCAGTTGGATAGGTTTCGTACTCTGGTTCTGTACTCGGATAGCCATCGTAGCCATACTGTACAAACACTTCAGCACTTCAATATACCGATAGTCAACTAGACACCGCTGAAGAGACTGTAGCACCGCCCAAATTTCGACGGAATCAAAGGCTTTCTCATAGTCCACATACGCCAGGCAAAGTGGCAGATTGTACTCTTCGGACTTCTGTACAATTTGCCGAAGGGTATGTATGTGGTCTATGGTACTGAAGCCTTTTCGGAAACCGGCTTGTTCGGGAGGCTGGGAGTCGTCGAGTCTGCGTGCGAGACGATTCGTAATGACTCTCGAAAACAGCACGTAGACGCGGCTCAGAAGGGAAATCGGTCTGTAGTTCTTCAAGAGAGCGTTGTCGCCTTTCTTAAAGAACAAGACCACCGCGCTTCTGCTCCACGCCTCTGGAGTAGTGCCACCATGGAGGACGGAATTGAAGAGCTTCTGAAGGACTTCAAGTACCGGTGTTCCACCCGCTTTCAAAAGTTCCGCTGTAATTCCATCCTCGCCCGGGGTCTTGCCGTTTTTAAGGTGGTGGAGAGCCATTCTAATCTCGCTCAGACTGACGTCCGGGATATCATCGGAATAGTGTCGGATAAGACTTGCTCTTGGATCGTTACTCACACTTGCGTGTGGCTCCAACGATGATGTGTACAGCTGCCCATAGAACCTCTCAATCTCACTCAGAATCTCAGGTGTCCCGGAAACGATGTTGCCACACTCAGTCTTCAGCCTTGACAGTTGGCTCTTTCTGGCAGACAGATCTCTGGCAAAGACTTTGGAGCCCTGGTTCCGCTCGATTGCTTCTTTAATACGAGCAGTATTAAAGTTGCGTAAGTCTCGCCGCATGCATTTGGAGATCTGTCTGTTCAGTTGCCTGTATGCTGTCAAATTTGTTGACGATTGCAGGCTCATCTCCCGTCTAACAGCCATGACATTAAGAGTGTGATCGGAGAGTTTTTGTGTTCTTCTGCGGCGGGTCTTGCAGAACTTAGCTCCGACCGCATGGACAGTTTCCACGAGCTTGTCATTCATATCGTCCATTGCATTGCAATCCTCTAGGCACTGAAAGCGGTTTTGTAACTCGAGCTGAAAGGTTTCGGGATTCTGGATTAGAGCACGAGGGGGACGGAGCGTTGACTTCATTAGACGAGACCTCTCCAACTTAACATTTAGGTTCAGTATGCCTCTAACCATTCGGTGATCGCTGCCAGTTTTCACCCTTGCGATTACTGAGACATCACTGAACAGTTGGCGTCTGGTAGTCATAATGAAGTCAATCTCATTTTTTGTCGAACCGTCGGGGCTCGACCTAGTCCACTTCCTATGGGGCCGCTTCTGGAAGAAAGAGTTCATCATAAAGAGTCCCTCTTTTTCCATAAAGTCGGCCAGCTGCTGGCCCCTTCGGTTCCGTTGCCCTACTCCAAATTTCCCCACCTTCAGCTCACCGCTTTCTCTTGTGTGAGTTTTGCGTTGAAGTCTCCCATCAACACCATGTAGTGGGTTTTGGAGGAATGCATGGCTCTGGAAATATCCTCATACATTTCCTCCACCTCCTCATCGGGATGTGCCGAGGTTGGTGCGTAAACCTGTATGACCTTCAGCGAATACCGTTTGGTGATTCTGAGTATCAGGTACGCGACCCTCGTCGACACACTCCCAATCTTTACAACGTTGTTGACGAGAGACTTGTGGACGATAAATCCGACACTTCCTTGGGACAGATGGTCGCCCTCCCGGTGGTAGAACAAATCAAATCAAATCAAATCAAATTCATTTATTTGCATAATACAGGTATAAGAGTTGTTACAAAAAAAAATTAGAATATGTACACTGTATTATTACCTTATGAGGTGTGCAAATACTTTACAATATACTCTACGCATTACTAATTCAATAATGGTGCTCTGAAATAAAATTAAGAATAAGAAAAAAAAAATATTGTCAATAGTTGAGTTTATAGTGCTAATTGTTGTCATACTAAATACCTTGATATTATATAAACTCGAAATTAAGTATTTTTGATAATAAGAATAATCAAATCCAAAAATGTTGTCATACAAAATTTAAGTTAAATTATAATTTAATATACTAATATTATTAAATTGTTACAATGTGTCACATACATTAGGTAAATGTATAAATTACTATTATTCAGTTATAATTAAATTCAAATTATTATTATTAAGTTACAATTAAATTAAAACTATTGCTATTAAATTATAATACTTTTGTCCTCTAGGTACTCTTTGACTTTATAATAACATTTATTAATCAGAAATTTGTGTAATATCGTCTTAAATCGTGAGATAGGCAACTTTCTGACATCATCTGGTAGTTTGTTGTGAATCAGTGATGCCATACAAAGAATACTTTTATTGAGTAGTGCTGTATCTCCATACGGTATTTCTATGTCTAATCTTTTTTTGTCGCGTAACTGTCTATAGTAGCTCTTAAAAGCAGTCTTGTAAAAATTTGGATTTGATTTCACAAATAGATTTATTTCGTAGATATATATCGAAGGCAATGTCAGAATTTTTAAGTGTCTAAAATATGGTTGACAGCTTGTAGTATTATCCAGATGGCACATTGCTCTGATGCATTTCTTTTGAGCTTTGAATGCAGATTCTTTATTTACCGAGTTGCCCCAAAATATTACACCATATCTTAGGATAGGTGCAACAAGTCCGTGATAGGCTAATAAAACGGCTTCTTTATTGACAATCTTGGAGAGTTTGTAAAGAGCAAACGAGGATTGATTAACTTTTTTGCAGACATTATCTAGATGTGTTTTCCATGATAGGTCATAGTCAATA